ACTCTCCTGGGTCCTGCACTATGGTGAGTGCCCATGCAGGCAGGGGGTTCTGGAGCTGGTGGGAGCTAGTCTGCCCTGTCAGCAGCCTCCTGTCCCCAGAGTCTGGGCTGGGCATGGGGTTTGCATGGCCGAGCTCAGGCTGTGTGCCCACGAGCCTGGCAGCCCTGGGGCTGGAGCGGAGTGGGGCTGGGGGTGGTTCCACTTTGCATGCAGGCAGTGTGGGGAGAGTGACCCAGCTGCAAGGGCAAAGCCCCGGGCAGTGAGTGGGGATGTGACGTGGCCGCTGAGAGGCAGGTGCCTAATGGGGATGCGTGGGCAGGCACCGACTCTGGGAGGTGCTGCTGGCTGGCACCAAGCTCCTTCATGGCAGAGGCAAGTGTATGCTGGGGTGCAGCTCAGCATGAAGGTGCAGCTCCCCACCCTGCCTAGGGAGCACCTGGCTCTGCAGAACAGCCTGGCTTGTGAAGCAGAATGGAGAGGGCAGCCAGCCAGTGCCCCGGCTCCCACAGCACCAAGACCCAGGGGCGCGAGTGGAGGGGGCACCTCCCACCAGCTTCCAATCTGCTGGCTCCTGGCAGCAGGGGACGGTGTTCAAGCTGTGGGTGCATCCCTGTGCCCCAGTTTGAAAACCACAGTTCTAATGCCTCTCGGGGGCACAGATAGTATTTGCGTCAGGTGCTACAATGGCACCGCACCTGATTACTGGATGTACCCTTTCAGTGCTAGCCCCAAAAGTGTTGAGTTCGGTGGTGATCTCTACCATTAAGTTTCCACAACTTGCTCCGTGGAGACATGGGAGGAGCACCGTTAGGATAGCTCTGGCGCCAGAGAAACCTGTGATAGATTGGAGACATAATGTGCGTGAGCCTCAGGGGTTGGAAGTGAAAAAGGAGTAAGCGAACCTTGATTTTGCTGGAAGCCAACCTGTGCCCTACCTAGTTGCATGGAAAGCAGTCTTAAAAAGTGCCAGCGGCGGGAATGGGACTGTCTGAATGCACCGAGTCTGCATATCTGAGCACATGGAATCCCTTGCAACGCCATGGGATATGAAAGCAGCCCTAAGCCAAAGAAGAAAAGAGTGCCAGAGAGGGGGCTGTGCTGGAGGTACGGAACATAACCCTTCTCTGACTCCTTAGGGGGACAATCCCCATCTCCCTGCAGCGAACATCTACAATGACTACTCTTCAGATGAGCCCTGAATAGGGACAGGGCTCTCTCCTGCAAGCTTCTCGGAGCAGCTTTCCTATGAGACTCACTTCCTCCGTATGGATGCTTCAATACGTCATGCACCACCCACCATCAGAGTCCCAAGCAATCCGACATGGAAGCAGAGCCAATGTCTGGGAGCAGGGATCAAGCCAGCACTTGCTCTGCTAGGAGGACACTGTGGCCTTGTCTACACTATGCCTTGGGATGGACACTGCTAAGCTCGATCCACCAGCCATCCATGTATCATGTCTAGTAGAGGATGATCAATCGATCTGTGAGCATGCACCTGTCAATGCCAGTACTCTAGCTAGATGAGAAGAGCAGCCCCCACTGACCTTACCACACACAAGATGCCGGGGTAAGTATGTCAACTTGAGTATGCGATTTGCCTAGCTGAAGTAGATAGACAGTGCCAGTAAGTGTAGGCAAGGCCCATTTAGGACTAACCAGAAGTCTCTCCTTCCATCAGCATGAGTGCTATATGTACATGCACCAACGCAGATTAGAATCAATGGGATTCTTTCCACTAACTTGTCTGGACTTTTGGATCAGACCCTAATAGCACAGCTAAAAGACTTCTTAACATGGCTCAGATTTTGCAGGCTTTGGCTAACTCCGCCAGAACTGGGCTCAATGACAGTTTAACTTGTTAAATTTGAATTCACAGGCCACGAACTCAGAGAGTGTCTACACTACAGGCTGCCGTCAATCACAAAAGCAGAGTGATCAATGTGGAAGAGAAGGTACGGACAGGGGAAAGATGTGGCATACTCTACCGAAGGAGAGACCTTTTTGTAGGAGTTGGGGCTGCTGAGGTGAAATCTTGGCTCAATTAAGGCAATAGCTAAACTCCCCTCTGACTTGAATGGGCCAGGATTTCATCACTGAGAGATCCAATGAGCTTTATAAAAACAAATACAGAACAAAACACCACAAACAGAAATCAGAGGTTCGGTCTTTTCAAAGACTTTGTTAACCTAAGCATTTTGGGCAGAACAGACTCTACCAAAACTCACTGAGGTCCATGAATAGGCTGCCATAGACTTCAAAGGATCCACGCTGGCTACATCTACACTGCAAGGTTTTTGCGCAAAAACCTGCGGAGAGTCCACACCTCAAATGCACTTTTGTGCAAGTAAATCAGCAGTAAAACAGCAGAACAGAGGGCTTTTGCTGGTGTAGGGTAAACCTCCTTCTACAAGTCATAATTCCCTTTTGCTCTATAGTTATTGCGCAAAAAGGAAGGTCTGGATGCTCCAGAAAAAGCACAGGTGCTCTGATGGCCATTCTGTGAATGGCCATCAGAGCTTTCTTGTGCAAGAGCATCCATGCATTGTGGACGCCCTCTTGTGCAAAAGCACATCACTTTTGCGATGCGCTTCTTGCGCAAGAAGCCTGCAGTGTAGACGTAGCTTCTGTGTAAAACAAGTCTCTTAAATCTGCCTATACATGTACATCTGTAAACCATACACAGGTGCATGTCTGTGAGTTAAATCCTCAGCATTACAGCTTTGCTCTGGAGCATGAAGATTTGCACATGAAACTCCTAGCAAATTGAGATAAGAAAATACCCCCTGTAATACTTGCTGTCAACAGGACTATGAAGATTAGAGTGTAACAGCTGAGAGTTTAAAAACCATTCACCCGATTCGGGAACAGCTTTTTTTCTGCTCACCATTGCCCTTTCCAAATGAAACTGTAAATGCTTCCTTAATTGAATCTGACAAATGAAAAGTAAAGGGATTTAAAATAACAAATGGTCACCAAGCTTTCCCTGCAGCAAGGTCAGAGAGACTTGACTGAACTTTAACTCAGCTGTCAAACTAGAAGAGCCAATTTAAAAAAAAAGTGTTGAAAAATACCTGTGTTAAGTTACTAACCAGGAACTGCTCAGTCCTCTCAAAATTTCTTCATTCTTTTTTCAAACCATTAAGAAAACCAAAGCTTTACATTATTCTCTCACTTGTACAAAGTTCTCTACTGGTATACATTGGGATGGGTTTGACATCAATAGAGCCACACCAGTTTACACTAGTGAGTAACTTGGCCCCATGTTGAACTGATGGAGCCAAAGGCAGGAAAGACAAGAGCTTCTTTTAAGAGAGATGTATATTAAATTAACATTTTACCTTTTACCAGACAGACTTTTGTAATACAGTTCACACACAGCATTTTTCTCCGCCTCAACATTGGCTTGAAATGTACTAGTTAGAACTGTGCAGGATCAGAGGGCAGATTATAAAAAGAGACATAAATATGTGGGTGGCTCCAAAATAAGGAAGTGTGACCTACAGGCAGGACTCTCTCAAATGAAACTGCATTATAGCTTTGCCTGTTTTTATCACTGAAAGAGAAACCGGTTTGGGGATTTGACTCCTCCCTACACTTCCTGGTGGCGCAAAGAGGCTGGCTTAACTTGGCTATTGGGCATTCTCAGGTAGCAAGGCATGAAACACCAAGTATTTCCACATTCTGGCTATGCCTAGCTCCCAGAATGGCCAAACAGCTGGGGGTAGATTAGAGCAGCCCCAAGCCATTTCTAATTTATATAGGATGCCAAATTAGAGTCCTGCACTTGGGACGGAAGAATCCCAAGAACTGTTACAGGCTGGGGACCGACTGGCTAATTAGCAGTTCTGCAGAAAAGGACCTGGGGATTACAGTGGATGAGAAGCTGGATATGAGTCAACAGTGTGCCCTTGTAGCCAAGAAGGTGAATGGCATATTAGGGTGCATCAGGAGGAGCATTGCCAGCAGATCTAGAGAAGAGATTATTCCCCTTTATTCGGCTCTGGTGAGGCCACATCTAGAGTATTGCATCCAATTCTGGGCCCCCACTATAGAAAGGATCTGGACACACTGGACAGGGTCCAGCGGAGGGCAACCAAAATGATTAGGAGGTTGGAGCACGTGACCTATGAGGAGAGACTGAGGGATTTGGGTTTGTTTAGTCTGCAGAAGAGAAGAGTGAGGGGGGATTTGATAGCAGCCTTCAACTTCCTGAAGGGAGGTTCCAAAGAGGATGGAGAGAGGCTGTTCTTAGTGGTGACAGATGGCAGAACAAGGAGCAATGGTCTCAAGTTACAGTGGGAAAGGTCTAGGTTGAAAATTAGGAAAAACTATTTCACTAGGAGGGTGGTGAAGCACTGGGATGGGTTCCCTAGGGAGGTGGTGGAATCTCCATCCCTAGAGGTGTTTAAGTCTCAGCTTGACAAAGCCCTGGCTGGGTTGGTTTAGTTGGGGTTGGTCCTGCTTTGGGCAGGGGGCTGGACTCGATGACCTCCTGAGGTCTCTTCCAGCTCTATGATAAGCTTCCAGGAGTGTGGAAGCGCCCCCACTCCCACCTTGCCCAGGGGCCCAGCATGGCTGCTGTCTCCCCTGCAGGCCAGAAAGCCAGAAAGGCTGCAGAAAACCCTGTGTGTAAATCCAATAACAGGATAAACTCCCGAGGGGCCTCATCCCAGACTTCTTTTGCACGAGTAATACATACCAATTCACTTTAAGATCCAATTCCTACAGGCTGAAGTAAATGTAAAGTCACGGCTGATAAAGTTTGTGGATGACACAGATTGGCAGACTGGTAATTAATGGTGGGGCCAGGAAAGTTGTATAGAGCAGTCAGGTTTGCTCGGTAAGCAAGACCCATTCAAACAGAATGCTCGTGAATGCAAACACAAGGTCATACATAAAAGAACCATTTGGGACTTGAATAAAAGCTCTGTGTAGCTTGAAAGCTTCTCTCTCTCTCCTCAGTGGACGATGCTCCAATAAAAAAATATGATTACACCCACCTTAGTGTCTCTAACAGCTCAAAGCAGTCATCGTGGCGGAATCATCATCCAATGGGGGAGTTTTCAGTAGCGCTCTCAGGAATTGGAACTATCCTGACACAATTCAACATTTTCATCAGTGATCTGAAAATATAAAGTAATTAATTTGTGGGTGACACTAAGATTGTCGAAGCTGTTATCAATGACTCTGGACCACTTGGTAACTTGTATAATGATGTATTTGGCTGTATTAAAACACATCTAGGAACAAGGAATGCAGGTCATATCAACAGAAAGGGGAGAAACTATATCCTAGAAGGCAATAAGTATGAAAAGGTTCTAGAAGTCTGATTCAGGCAGGTTGGGTATATGTCTTTCATAAAGGGCCAGCCCTGTGACAGGATCTGATAAATGTTTACATCTGCCTGAGCTGGTGTTAGCACCTGAAAAAGATGCACCTGCGTGCACAGATCCAGCTGTGTATGCTGCAAATGCATCTGAAAGAATGAACAAAAGAACAAGAGAAAGCTGAAGGAGTCTGGAAAAAAGCATACTGATGTTATTCACTGAAACTAAAGTCTTAGATGTAAGCCAATTGAGATTTAAAAAAAGAACAGTTCTGACAGTCATATACTCTTAATATCCTTAGCATAAATCAAACTGTCATCATTTATCATTTGCAAAGCAGAATTTGATAGTAGGCACATGAAGCAGGAGTGGAATATAAAGGGCATAATTAGTATCAAAACTGAGTACACAGATTTTATGCACAAACCACTTTATAACCTTAAGGTACAAATCTCTAGTGCTCCTGAAAGAAGAGTGTTTGTGGGGGAGAAAGGAAGACACACACAAAAAAAGAAACTGTTAGTCTGAATCTGCAAGAACAACAAGAAGTCCTGTGGCACCTTATAGACTATTAGATTTATTGTAGCATAAGCTTTCGTGGGCAAAGACCTTTCGTGGGTCTTTGCCTATGAAAACTTATGCTCCAATAAATCTGTTAGTCTATAAGGTGCCACAGGACTTCTCGTTGTTGTTAAGACAGGAAAAATGTAAGTTAGATGCGTGCGCGCGCGCACACACACACACACAGAGGAGGGGATAACGCCATCAGCAACTGGACTCACTCCTGAAAAATTCCTCTTGAAACCTCTCCTACTACAGTAAACTTCCGATAATCTGGCACCTTTAGGACCCAGGGGGGTGCCGGATTATCAGATATGCCAGACTATCGGAAGGGGGGGTTATGAGGGGTCTAGGGTGGGGTGGAGGGATGCCACCCCAGACCCTTCATAGCCCCCCCTTCCAATAGTCCGGCTCTGCCCCAGGAGTCCCTGATTCAGCCGCTGCTGGTCAGTTTCAGCAGCAGCTGAATTGGGGATGCCTGCAATAGAGCAGCTGGGGTGCTGCCAGGTTGGTCCCGCAGCACCGAGGGGCAGCGCTACGGCACCAACCCAGCAGCATTCCAGCTGCTCTTAGGGATGCCTGGGACAGAGCAGCTGGGGTACTGCCCAGTTGGTCCCATAACGCTGCCCCTCGGGGCTGCGGGACCAACCCAGCAGCACCCCAGATGCTCTTGGGGACACCTGGGGCAGAGCAGCTGGAGTGCTGCCTGGTTGGGCCGGTAGCACCGGCCCTTGGTGTGGCGAGACCAACACCCCAGCCACCCCATCTGACTTTCCCAGCATCCCCAGCACCCCAGCTACTCTGCCCCCGGCTTCCCCGATTTAGCTGCTGGTCAGTTTCAGCAGCGGCTGAATCGGGGAAGCCAGGCGCAGAGCAGCTCCAATTGTCCAGCTGCCCAGAGCACTTCTGGGTTCCTGATGGTGCCGGACCATCAGGATTGCCGGAGCATTGAATGCCGGACCAATGGAGTTTTACTGTAGTATTTCTGAGCACCCCATTTAAGAGGAACAATTTTCTGTCTAGACTCCAGGCTTTTAACATTGATCAGGCAGCCACTACTGAATGGCTAACAGAGTGAGTCCACTCACCGCCTTTGTAAACTAATGTTTTTTCCAACTACTGCTACAATTCCAAGTGCACAGGCCCCTCCCAATGCCGGACCAATGGAGTTTTACTGTAGTATTTCTGAGCACCCCATTTAAGAGGAACAATTTTCTGTCTAGACTCCAGGCTTTTAACATTGATCAGGCAGCCACTACTGAATGGCTAACAGAGTGAGTCCACTCACCGCCTTTGTAAACTAATGTTTTTTCCAACTACTGCTACAATTCCAAGTGCACAGGCCCCTCCCATCTGATCTGATTTACTTGGAGAGCAGCTGGACATACCGGTGCCCACAGACTCACAGTGTGAGCACTTCGATTTTTGAAAGGCTCATGTTGTATATTTAAAAATCACAACTTCCTCTTCCCCCCCAAGTGAAGACTTCCATTGGGGGCAAGTGACAGTTGAGTGACAGGCTATTTCCAGGAGCTTCCTTGTGCAAACCAAAAACGTTGCCTGCCCAATACCAGCTGATTCGGAATGTGCCCTACTGATGGAATAATCCAGTTAAAGAATGCTGTGCACCACCGGTAGCTCGCTGCCTTGCTGATGTTTTATCTCACTTTCAGACATGGGGATTTTGGCAGTTCTTGCTCTGGCGTTTTGGTGCCTTGGCATGAACAGACCTAAGGCTATTGGAACTTCAGTGGAATCAAGTGGCAAGCAGTCTTACAGGGTGCATTTTAATACATTCCTTGGATTCAGTGAAAGAGCAAGTCTCCCTGGCTCTGGCCCATCCCACAACAACACGAGAAAGGCTTTACTCTTCTAACTGGCATATCCCTCACACCTCCCCGCAGAATCTTTACCTGGAGGAACGTCAGCACGAGCAGAACAGCTCCTCTGAAGCCTGATTCAGGGCCAGACTCGACTCTGCTATTAGCAAGGGGCCAACAGACTTGCTGGACCGCTCCGAAAGGTGTGTGTGGGGGGATGGGCTGGCTCTGCACTCCCAAAAGGGGCAAGGCCTAAGGCAGAAGGGGCAGGGCTGGGAGCAACCAGCTCTCAAAGCTGCCCAGGGCACACTGGGCATTGCTTTGTTAGCAATTTAAAGAGTCCAGGGCTCTGGCTGCCACTGGTCCTGCAGTAATGATGGCCAGGAGCCCCAGGCCTCTTTGAATCACTCAGGGCAATTATCCACTTTGCCTCGCCTGACTGTCGGGCTCTGTCTGGAACGTAACTCTTGCGTTTGCCAACCGGTCTTGACATTTTAGACTTTTGCTGCTGCATGAGGATGATGGCGAGAGGCTTTCATCGTAGCCACTTCAATTTGGTTTCTCTGTTAACAAGGCGAACTGCGAAAGAGATATTAAAATACACTTACTAAGCAAATATGGTTGTGGCTAACAAAGTGCTGCAAGTACAATGCAATGTTTCCGAACACAGCAGCAACAAGATTGTTTTCTAGTGCTGCTTATTAATTTTTGAAGGGGTTGATTTCAAATGCTAGCAGTGTTCTTTAACAAGCTAGGGTTTAAAGAGATAAAAATAGCTAGAAAGCATTAAAATTAGAACCGTGGGCTGCTCTATTCATGTGTTTACAGAAGTCCTATTAACATTAACGAGTTCTGTACCTACAATGCACAGCTGGCATGTTGTATTCTGGGTTCCTCATCTTCCTCTAAAGAAGACAGGGCACAGCTGAAGATTAGACAGTGCACAGAGGTGGACCAGTGCTCTAAGATAGTACAGAGAGGCCAATATCTAGATGCCTGGTTGGTATGAGTCTTGCTCATAGTCAAATGATTACCAGTTTTGGCGTCAGGAATTAATTTCCCCTTTGCTCACATTAGCTGGAACTTTAGGAATTTTTGGCCTTCTTCTGCAGCATAGGGTGTGTTCAGGGCCGACTTATCCATTAGGCACAGGAGGCACTGTGCCTAGGGCCCATGATACTTTTAGGGGCCCACGAAAATGTTTTAATTTTTTTCTCACATCAGAAAAAAATGAAACTTTTAGGGCTCACGAAAATCTATTAAATTTTGCCTAAAACAGAAAAAAATAAAATGTTGAAGTATTTAAAGTGATATCAAAAATAATTTTTAATACTTTTTTTTTTTTTATGGAGGAAGGGGCCCACGAAGGTAAGAGTGTCTAGGGCCCACGAAAGTCATAATGCGACCCTGGGTATGTTGAATCCGCTGGGGTTAGCTCGGCATTTGTCACCAAAGCATTGGCCTCACTCCTCAGGCACTGAATGGCACCTTGGTTTCTCCTGTTCTCGAAATAACCCTTATTTCTCATACAATGAGGTTTACCAGTTATTTCAAGAAAAGGGTTTTCTCTCGAAATAACCACGTTTTAACAGCGTGTGTTATTTCGAAATAGCACTATTCTGAAATAGCGCCATAACGTGAATATGCAAATGAAGTGCAGGATACTTAAATCCCGGCTTCATTTGCAATTTCGAATGTCTTCATTTGCATCCCTCTCTTGAGAGAGGGTGCAAGTGTAGACATACCCTAGGAGATCTACTGTGGATTGAGGTCATGGCATGGCTCTTCCTCTAGTTACACTGGGTGATGCTGCATCTCAAATCTAAAAGGCTGACCATGGGCGGTTAGGCTCTGAGAAAGAAAGGGGGGATTTAACTCAGAGCTTGGCCTACATTTAAACAGAAGCTATAAAACTTCCAAGCTTTTATTTAAAATTGTGGGCCAAGTTCTGCTTGTTACCCCAAAGTAACTCCAGGCTTTATTGTTCCAAATGTGAAAAATGTTTTAAATAATTTTTTGCACAAAAAATTATTATGCACCATTAAATAAATAACTAACCTTTGAGACTGCCATTATTCTTTGTTTATTCTATGTACTCTGGGCAAAATTCATCCCAGAATACAGCACCCTACAGAGCCCTAGGAACCTTATGATGAGGTCTTAAGTGATGCATAAGATCTTGCATGTCCCTTATCCTGGAGTGAATTTCACCCTTAAAAGCGAGGTGGGCACAAACTAACGCAAAAAGAATTCCCTAGGCAGCTACAGTAGTGCTGAATTCATTCATTCATTTAATTTTTTTTTTTTTTTTGGTAACATACAAGGAGAGATTGCAATCACAGGAAAGCAGATGAGACTCATTGCGGAAGAGGGGAAAAGTCACAGCTGCGAATACTAAAGGTCCTCAGATAATTCACAGTTTATAGCAACACTTGAAATGGTTCCGAATGTTCTAGTCAAGCATCTGCTTTGTTTATATTTTTTCCTAGCAATGTGAGATTTCAGAGCCCAGAGTTTCTGCTTCACTCCTCGCTCTCAGCAATGGCTTGCAATTTCTTGCCAGAGGGTGCACTTTGCTAATTATCTATCAGAGAGCTGCAGTGTTGTGTGTGTCTGCAGCACCATGACTATGGCTCCTAGGCACTACAACAATGATAAATACTATTAATACATAGTAAGAAGGGAGGAAGTATTAGAGCTGGGATTTGAACATGCAACATACACTGATGCCTAACTCCCTTAAGACCATTTAAAACTCCCAGTCTACAATTTCCGTTCATTTCTATTGATGTGTCATGTGGTTTGATTGAATCAAGGAGAGATATTCAAGGAAGCTGAAAAAACCTTAATGAGGACTCAGTGGTTCTCCCAGCAAAGGCAGTGGGGAATCTCTCATTGACTGATATAGTGTGAGAGGAGACTCGCAGCATGGTATTTAACTGTGCAGGGGGGTCAGCAAAAGGTCTGTGGTCCAGTTAAGTGCCTCTAAAACTCTCAGGCAAAGCTTAAATGCCACTTGCGTGGTACCTAAGATTTGTGCTGGCCTTCTGCACAAGGGTGAGAGTCACCCACACAGACTTCTAAAGCCGGGAATGAAGACTATATGTTTTAAACTAAAAAACAAAACCACCCAATATCCACTGGAAATCTGTGACAGGAAAAATACTAACAAGTCACTAAACAACACCCAGCATTGGGAAAACATTTAGAGTGTTAACACAGTTGTCAAATTAGAGAACAGAGTATTAAAGTTTCAGATGGTGCATTACATCCCCCAGAAGATGTGTTTAAAACTTTTATGATCATATTAATAAGCTATGAATCAATGCTTTAATAGAGTATGAAATATACCCTCATGGCAAACCAGAAAAGAATGTGGCTCTGTATAGTTTTTATACTCCAGGTGCTTTTTACTAAGGCATTAAAAACTGGAAGTACAACATCTGTGTAAGAGACACATAATGGCTGATATGTTCATGAGACCAACATTCATCATTGTGAGCGCTTTGGTTTCTAGGGGTCCATGAAACCATTTCAAACTGAAGTCTCCCATTAGTCCAATGCATAGACAGAACGTGAGAAGGACAGTACAAGCTTTCACGCTGCACAACTCATCTACGGCTATCTGTCTCATCTCTGATCCAGAGGGGGAGAGGACAGTAATCCCCATGCCCGTTCGTCCCATGCCCTCCCACCTCACGCAGCCCATTGTAGTACCGACTATTGGTACCCACTGCATTTTTGCTCAGCAACTCTATTCAGCAAGGCCACTTTACAGCCATCAAAGAGTAACAACTTTCAATCAAAAACGGATTAAGAAGAGCTCTTGTGCAAAAGGAGGTTTTTGTGCAAAAAGGCGCCATCTACACAGTGCTTTTTTGTGTAAAAACCTCTTCCAGAAAAAGGATCAGAAGATAATATGCAAATGAGAGTGAGATATGCAAATGAGCGCTCCATTTGCATTTCCTCTTCCAGAAAAAGTTCGTAGTGTAGCTGTAGCCTCAGAGCAGCAATCAGAGGATCTGTTTTCCATTTCCTGTTCCCTGATCCAGGCAGTTCCCTAAGAGCTTCTTCTATTCAAGAGAAGGAAGGTCGATTTGGACCCCGAGCAATGCTCCCTCTACTCTTTTCCATCCATATGTGGATTTTTTCCATCCATGAGCAGAATAATTTTTACGTGCCCCGAAGCATGTGGGAATGTGCACTACCAGTAGGCACAAAACCTAGTTGTGGGCACTATGCTAATCAGCTAGGCAGCATTTGAAACTCTCCTGAGCAGCTTCACAAACTCACAGCTTATAGAGAACACTGATGTCCCTGGACTCCTCCTACATGAAAAACCAACCAATCATCCACAACAATTTTGCCATCAGAGCTTTAGCTTCAATCCTTGGCAATAGTCAGGACGGGCACATCTCACGGGGGAGTGTCTATAATATTCCCATCAGAGGGGCAGCCACGTTAATCAGCATCTGCAAAAACTATGAGGAGTCCTGTGGCACCTTTAGGATTAACCGATTTATTTTGGCATAGGCAACATGTTGGGAGTGCATGTGGGGCCACATGTACTGTGTTGGGGGTGCACTCGCCCAAGGCAGGAGGGGCCAGCGAGCAGCTGGCAGTGGGCTAGCAGCTGGAGGACCAGTGCCAGCAGCAGGAGTCTGCACCCCTCCCTGCCCCCCTGCACTCACCAGCCATGGCGGTGGGAAAAGTGAAGGCCAGGTGATTCTAGCCCATGCAGCGCCGCTCCCCTACCATACCGTTCTGGTGAGTGCAGGGCAGAGTGCGGTGCAGACCTCTGCTACTTCCACCTGCCCTGCCACTTCCCTATGGGTGAAGCAAGGGTAGGGGTGGAGTAAGGGACAAGGCAGGGGTGGGGAGAGGCAGGGCCTGGAGTGGAAGGGGGTGGTCCCGGCCCTTCCCTGGGCAGGGGGAGGGCACATGGCTAGTGAACCCCCTCTTCATGGCAAAGACCCGTGGAAGCTTATGCCCAAATAAAGCTGTTAGTCTTAAAGGTATCATGAGACTCCTTGTTGTTTTTATAATATTCCTACATCTCTTCAGCAGTGCACTTTAGCTTTCATGCTGGGCATGAAACCAAATCCTGGT